GACTTTCTTTGTTTCACCAGTTCTGTCTCTTCATTCCTCACCTACTCTCTTCACTCCGATTTGAGCAGTCAGACGACACAGTTTTGGTAACATAACAGTACTTGTTTGTAAGTAAATAATCTTGTGTTTAAACTACACTTATTTTTGTTTGTCCGTGTTCAATTTATTCTTCGCTTAACAGTCCTGAACCTGTGTTTTTCTCCTGGACATCAGAGTACCTGAATACCACAAAACATTTTAAGTTGTACTTGTTTCAGTAGTTAAAACGTTTCTTTGTAACTGTTTGAGTTACTGAGATAACTTGTCAGCTTATTTGGTAACAGGCCTCGTTTTTTTTCCACATCGTTCCACTCGAAATCCCCATACCGAGGTTCAACTTTGAAAATGTTAATCAACTGCACGTGTGTTTTATTTTAAGTTTTATTGTTAATCACCTCGTCACGTGCTGCAAGACTAGCGCGTGGGTAGAAACACAAAAACCTGTTTTTTCTACAGCTTCCGCCCATCCCAATGTACAAAAAAAACTGTCGTTTTTACCTGCAACATTTGATCATACCCTGACTACGACTGATTTTTAAGTTTTTTTTCGAGATAAATTGAAAATCGAATATAATATGAATACATTTGACTCTTTACTTAATGTATAATGTAATTGTGAAGATACTTACTGGAGATTTGGTTTTATTGTTTTTATACGCAAAACTACACAATGGGCTATATATATGTGTGTGTGTGTTCTGTGCACCAGGGTATCAAAACCCGATTTTCAACGTCATAAGCTTGTAGACTTACCGTTGAACCACTACTAAAACGAATAAAAAAAAGGCTCAAAATCACTTTATATGTAGCACGAATAAATGACAATCTAGGATATTGAAATTATAATATATCTTGATATCTATTATTATTATTTTTTGTACTGCAGAAATATCTTCAATCCAGAAAAGTGTCTTAAAATTCATAACAATGAAAATATTATTAAACTATATTTACCATTTTCGATGTTTTATTTAATAAAATTAAGAATACTTAAGAAAAAATATAAAACTGTAGGTTATTTCTCTATTGTAAGAACAACATTAAATAATTAGCGCGAGTGAAGTATGTAAAGTATTTTGTTAACTCTTTAAAATGTCACAATTGTACGATAGGTGGCTACAGAATGTTTTTATTTTAATACACAAGTTAATGGGCTATATTTTAAATTTTCGAATTCATGCTGTAAAATATTCGAATTTTGAATCAAGCAGGAAAAAATTATATTAGTAGGTAGGAATAAAATCTCAATTTCGCCGAGACCCGGGATCGAACCAGGGACCTTTAGATCTTCAGTCTAACGCTCTCCCAACTGAGCTATCTCGGCTGACAAATATGTTTTCTTATTACTTTTATATCGTATAATTTTTTAAGGGTTCATTTATTTATTTAAGTGTTTTTTAGGCTTAATCAAATTTTCGCATATGTGTTTATTTTTTAGTGTAAACTGCAACCAGACAATTACTAAGTTATCAGTTATTTAATTTAGAATAAATTTGACTGTTATTAATAATCTAAGTTTTTGGAATATCATGGGTCAGTGTATAAGTACTAATGTTTAATATATATACATATATAAATGGCCAACATATATGCTAAGCCTGATTAATGATTTTTAATCTGGGAAAAATACAATAAAACATAACTGTATGAATATCGAGTTAATGGTGAAAAGAACGGCCAACCAATTTTATTTTTTTAATACTAGCTAATAACCCTTCAAAGATGACGAGGCAAGTACTACCGCCCCCACCCCATATTATACCCTAACCTAACATTTCATAGCTAATTGAAATAAATAAATTTTGCGAATCAAGCTTGACCAACAAAGAGGCAGAAAAGTGCAGTCAGGAAATTCCTTTGTGAGCCAATGGAAATTAAGATAATTTATGAAATG